AAACTTTGGAGGGGAAGGGGGGGGGGGGGGGGGGGTATGGGGGACAACAACAAAAAGTGCAATCATGTGCAGGGGAATTTTTGTAAAGTTTATGCAAAGCCATTCTTTTTTTGAACTTTAGTTTTTGGATAGCATATGGAAGGGTTAAAGCTGAACTCCAGGCACAAAATAACACTTACTACAATTACTGATACTATGTAACGCACAGGTATAACGAACCATTTGCCTGTACCAAGCAACATAACCGAGCCAAGTTGAACTAACAACAAATAAATAAGATGGCCACAATTAAGAACATTGGCAACAATATAACTAAAACAGTGCAGCCTTGCAGCTCTGTGGAAGAGCACTTCTGGAACTCTGCTCATCAAGTGTTTCTCTCCTGTGGCTGCTTCACTCCCAGTACTCATTAGTATCGCAGAGGCTGACCTTTCCTGCCACGGTGACATCTTCCTTCACTCATAACACTCTGTGCCCGTGCCCCCCCTGTTCTGCCAACCAGGGGTTCTGGGACTGAAGCTGAAAGGGATGTCACCCTTGTCAACTCAAATTCCACCAAGGTGCATGACAGTAGCTGTAGGGCTCCAGAATTCGCAATACATGGGCACACAAGTCCACGCACACATGGTAAAACGTGTGGGAACACGCATGCTTCTGCGCAGAGGTGCACAGCCAGGCACGACACTATGCACCAAGCCAAGCAAATGCGCAGGTACCCGCACTGGAACCCTGGCTCTGGCTTCTTGACAGGTTTCCTCCAGGTACCCCGTTTTGCTCCCACACTCCAAACACATGCTGGTGGGTTAATTGGCCCTAGTATGATATTCTACTGAGTACGCCCAAGATGGCTGCTGCACCTCCTATTTTGAGCCCCCAGGGAGAAAAGTGCAATAGAAGTAGATAAGCACATTGACAAAAGTGTGTTCCCTTCACTTATTTCCTCTATAAAAGGGAAAAACTGCATGTAGTGGTGTAGCAGAATGGGTTGTTAAAAAGACCAAAAACATTTAGGTGCACCAAATGGTTGCTCGCTGAAGCTCAACGGCCTCAGTGCCTTGGAAGCCACTGAAGTCATCCTACCTCACAGGGACCACCATTTAGGGCAGTGGCTGTCAACTTACGAAGCTTTGGGGCCCTTGATGCCACCAAAACTCAGCACATGCTATTCAGTATATGTAATTCTAGAAAGGACCGTCAGAGACATACCAAAGGAAATGATGGGCAGAGACTATGCTACAGGATCAGAGACTGGAACATGCACATACATAAAGGTGGACAGCAACATGCAAAACTCCAAGGTGCAGTCAAGAATTTTGCTTTTTTGAAGTCTCCCTAACAAACCACCCCCCATACTGCTTTTGGGTGCACTAATCCTATATGAAAGGTGACTATAAAAATTAGACAACAGTCACCTGATCTTTTTTCAGCCAGATTACCCTGCTGTCTAGGGGGCACCCTAGGACACGTACTAATAAGGCTCATTGGATGGAAATAGTTATTAGACAGGTTAGGAAAAGTTAGAACATTTGCCCGGTTTTTAAAGTTAGTTTCAGAGGTATTTGTGGCCCATCTTCCTTACACTTTCTTCACCATATGCCTAAACCACAGATGATAGCCCAATGGGCCAATTAATGTCTAGAAATACATTGGCCATCACAGATATTTGAAGACAGTCAGCTCATACCTGTACATCCAGCCTAGCTAGCTTATCACTTTTTAAAATAGATGCCATGGATGACTCTGCATATCTGAGGGAACACTAGCCATTCCAAGCTGTCACCCCTAGGATATTTTTGTTTGACTTTTTAGTTGCGTTGAAGCCTTTTCTGACTTGGAGACAGTAATGATAGACCTCCCACATGCTGTACAGTGACTCCTGGTCTTTGATCTTCAGGGTAATGAGGTGTCACTGACATGCTAGACATCCTCTTATCACACTGCAGCATCCTCTGTCTCTGGAGAGCCCACAGAGGAGTCTCTATTACCACCACTCCCTAGACACACAGGAATCTCCAATACAAATCAATGGAAATCAGCATCTTCATTGGAAAGCCACAGACATATTTTTCAATGATGACCCGTCTGGGCGAGACTGATAAGTTTGTGTTGTGTTCAGGGGTGAAATTAATGGTTCCATCCTGTTCTGCAAGATGCATTATTGTCCCTCCTCCTCTCCATCATCCCTAATCAAAGACCTCTTATCTCCAGCTGCAGCCATAGCACAATCTGTGAACTGCAAAAAATGTTGTTTATTCCGATCCCAGGGTCAACATTTCACCAGCTATTGATATAGCCAGACGTTATTGCTGAGCAAGAAGCACTTTGTCCTGCATTTGCATGATAATTCAAAGAGCAACAGTGCGATCCATAATAAACAGCCCTGATATCACATGTTGATTGAAGTAAAGATGATGGAATATTGGAGGTGTCAATCCACCTAAAAGCAATTTTCAGATATAATTGGAGTCTGGAGGGCTGGGAAACTGCTGGCCGGTTACCTCAGTGACAAGATTTGCCAGCCCCTGTCCCTGGCCTTGTTGGTATCCACCCTGGAGTTTTGGGCTTTCCTGCCCATAATGCAGCAACCAGGCAAGTCTGGGGGCTCCAGCTGAGACTCAGAGAATTAAAACAAGCTAAGGGTTGATCTAGCTAGCCCATATTTACGAAAAGCCTAAATATATGTTGAAGATGGTTGACCCTGAAGGGCCCTTTAGACAGGTACAGTGTGTTACCTGCATTGCAGTGCATACCGCCTCTGCCTTAAAGTTCATTATGGTAAGAGAGTTCATTCATTCTGAATGGGGTGTCAACGCACCACAACACAAGTTTTAATGGTCCTGTAGCATTGATGTTTAATACAGTGTAGCACAATGCACAGATGATTCACACACATGTATTGTGATGTGCTGGCAAAGTACGTTGGTGCAGTTTGGTACACTTTACTGCAACACACAGGTTTGAATATGGCCAGATAGCGACACTGCATAACAATTTTTTGTAATAGGTGTGGGGGTAGTTATTAGAAAAGCCTTAAGCTGGTTATACACCACCAGTAGAATTTTATTTGAACAACATTGTTTTCGGAACATTTGTTTGATTTTCTAATACTTAGTGGGGTCAAGCAGGGGCATCCTGAGGCAGGGTGTCACCCGGAGCGGGTACCGGGTGACACCCCGCAGTGACGACATTGCACATGTCAGTGACGTCATCGTGCACGCTGTTACCTGTCGGTGGCCATCTTGGTGATGGACGCCGGCAGAGAGGAGGGGACATTCACTCGGCGGGATAAGATATGCTGCCGGGTCCCCTCTGCTTTCGAGCAACTGTCAGGTTCTAAGTCCATAACCGAGTGCCCAGCTTTTCAGACCGTAAGTCATTTTGGTGTCATCCCTCCAATGGTGTCACCCGGGTCTCTCTCTCTCTCTCTCTCTCTCTCTCTCTCTCTCTCTCTCTCTATATATATACCTCTGTATGCAAAATACATTTTGTATATAAAAGATGCTGCAGTGTCTTACAGATTTTGCATGAATCCAACTGAAATGACCGAATATGTGTCAATAAATGTTGCAATGTGTCATTATGGTAGATAACATCTTGTCATGTGTCTTTCCCACACTACCCCCTGCATCCTGTATTATCCTCTGCTATTAGAGGCTCCAGATGTCACCTTGTTTTGTGACACACGTCCATTGTCCCTGCCGCTCTGTGATTGGCTGCTGAGTGTGGGAACCTCTTTCAAGCCAGCTCTCCATATATTGTTATGCACAGAGAGGGGTATATATAGAGAGCAGGGCTGTTCACTAGCAGACACACATCAACTGGCTCACCCAGCACACCTCTGCGTGACCACTACCAGCTCCAATAACATGGCCCCCTGCAATATGAGGACATTGGATCATCAAGCTACCAATGGGCTCCGAAAGGTGAGATTTCCTTCTAGTGCCAAATGCACCTTCTTATTTCCACTGTATAAGCATGTATTTCCTCTTATGGCTCTCCTCGTCTTTCAATGCCCCATAGGATTTGTAGTTCCACAGCAGCTTGAGTACTGAGGTTTCCTACCCCTGGTATACAGGCTTAACTTTTCTACCTATCAATCACTTTTAGATTTATATGGAAGCTGATTATAATGGTAACAGAAGTATAAAGCATCTCATGACCTCTGCTTCTTAAAGTCATGCTTGTGGCTGTCAGAGACTTGCAATGCCTCATTGGACTTGTAGTTCCACAACAGTTGGAGTGTTGAGGTTGCCCACCCCTGCTATATAGGCTTAGCTTTGCTACCCATCAATTAATGTTAGATTGATATAGAAGCTGACTATGATGATAACAAAAGTATTAACCATCCCGTGTCTTGTTTTGTGCAGCTGAGGAAGCCCGCTATTGAGAAGATGAGGAGAGATCGCATTAACAGCAGCATCGAGCGGCTGCGTCTCCTACTGGAGAAAGAGTTCCAGAAACATCAACTGCCCTCCAAACCTGAGAAGGCCGACATACTGGAGATGACGGTCACCTTCCTGCAGCATCAGATGGTTGAGAAAAGTAAGTGCCCCCCTCCTTTGTCCTCGATCTTATCATTCTTGCTCACAGGTGTCAGGAGAGGATTGTAGAAGGTGACAGTAGACTTTATATAACTAACATGCGTCTTGTTTATTCCAGCTGTGACAGCAACCTCCAGCCAAGCCTACAGAGATGGCTACTCCACCTGTGTCCAGGACTCTGTGACCTTCCTGTCCATGCACAAGCAGACAGACACCCAGCTGCAGCTGCTGCAGAACCTCCACGGGGCTCGGATGGTGCCCGGCGCTCTATGTCCTTCTGTATTCCCCGTCTCACAGACAACCAGCAAGCACAGTGCTCCAGACAGCAGCAAAGCCTTGTGGAGACCCTGGTGATAAAATTGTCCTATGGACTGACTTCTACTTGAACAAAATACACAATGAAGACTTGTGTAGATGTTGCACTTTATCAGAGAACTCCTTCAAAGATGCCTTGCAGAGCCTTAGAAAAGAGCTTGTGTTTGTGAGAAGTTCTATACATTTTCCCTATGGGAAATAATTGTTTTCCACTTTTGGAAGGAAATCTTTTACTGTGGAGCATGTAGCTTCAATTTAAAGCAGTGTCTCTGTACAAAAGGCATTGCTGCTACTAAGGGAATCCAATTTCTAAAAAATAAGTTTTCTTTAAATTTCTTTAAAAACACCTGGAAATGGCTTACATGGTATTAACAGTCTTGAAATATGAAATATTTTGGTAACGCATGTTGCATGTGTTTAATAGTAAGAGTAGATTGCTCTGATACTGCTCTATTGGTCATGTAACCAGGGCCGGATTAACATAGGGGGTACTGGAGCACTAGCTCCAGGCCCACCATTGAAAATAGGTCCGGGCAGCCTGAATCGCCGCAGTATGCCCAATGGCAACCCAGGCCGGCTGGGGTCACCACAATTAGGCAGAGGCACCAGCAGCTCTCTAATCAGGCATATTAGGCGGCCACTTACTGGGGCCACAACCAGAAGTAAGTGGCCGTCTAATTAGAGAGCCTCCTCGGCTGCTTCCCATACAACCTACCAACAGCACCAGGCCAATGATACTCTTAATCCAGTCCTGCATACAACGCTTGCACCAAGTGACTTTATGTGTATAATGTGATTCCCCTGGAGTTGTGGGAACCTTTGTATATTGTGACAGTGAATTCTGATTGGATTCTAATTGAATCTTTTTTTCATGTTGTGAATTGCAGATTTTTAAAATCTGTTTGAAACAGAGGAATCTGCTATTGTCATCGTACTGATAGCTGTGCGATGACATCATTATAGTGACAACCACATATAAGTTGTATTATATTGTATCTGTAATATTTGTAAAAGCCGCAGATTTATAATTAACTTATGTGACAAATGTTCTTCATTGTTTTATAAACATTTTCTGATCAAATGATTACTTCAAAAATAATAAAAATGGTTTATATCTTGAATATGTATGTGGTTCCACTTATAGTTTATGTGAAGAATATATAGCTAAACAAAAAATAAAAATTATATTATTATCGTATAGCTACTAGTGTAGAAGTGGAGAGTAATATCCAAATATTTATCCATTGGTCTGTCCATCTATCCTTTATATCCATCTATCTACCCATCCCTCTGTCCATCTGTCTGTCATTCTGCCTATCTATCCATCCAGCCATTTGACCACGTGTTCATCCATCCATGCATCCTTCTGTCTGTCTATCTATCCTTCTATCTATCTATCTATCTATCTATCTATCTATCTATCTATCTATCTATCTATCTATCTATCTATCTATCTATCCACATGTCCATCTGCCCATTTGTCCATCCATTAATCTTTCCATCTATCCATCCATCCCTTTATCTGTTATTCTGTCTATTATCCAGCTATCCATTTGTCCACCTGTTCATCCATCCATTAATCTGTGCATCCATCGTTCCATCTATCTATCTATTCACATGTCCATCCGTCAATCCATCCGTCCGTCCATCCATCCATCCTTATATTCACCCATAGTAGTTTAGTGGTTCGTACTTTTGCTTTGCAGCACTGGGGGTCCCCGGTTCAAATCCCGGTCAGGACACTATATGCAAGGAATTTGCATGTTTTCCCTGTGCTTGCGTGGGTTTCCTCTGGTATGGAAGTTTAATTGGCCCTTTATGTGTTTGCAATAGGGCCCTCAGACTGTAAGTTCCTCAAGGGCAGGGACTGATGTGAATGTGCAGTATGTAAAGCCCTATGTAAATTGTTTGCACTATATAAATACATGAAATAAATAAAATCTATCCATCCAATCATAATCCTGCCAATGATATTACACACTCCTGACTGTATAGATTCATGTAAAAGCCAATGCCACCCTCACCACTAAATCTCTTAGGGGTGATTTACTATGCACATTGCACAGTGAAGGTGTCCTGTGATCCATCCAATTGTGTGCTGAGATATTTAAAAAAAAGAAATCTCCCTTTGAACCTGAATGGATGTTGGAAGCAATTGGATCAGTAAGCCGGGAGGCGTGTTATACTGCTTGAAACCCGAACCGTGGTGTGTGAGAGCAGCGGTCCAACTCTCCACGGTGCTGCTAACACTGGGCTTGTACCCTTGTTGCAACACATACCACGTAAGACTAAACTAACAGAGTAACCTTTTTTTTTACTGTATACGTAGCCTGACTGCATTACAGTTATAAATATAAAAGCTTTAATCTTGCTTTGTGGGGTGAATCTTTCATGAATTGGCTACTCAGCTGTGACATGCTAAGCAGCAAACTGTCAAACATATGAAGAAAAATTCAACTTTCTCCACATGTACACAGTACAGAATTGGGACATTGCAAAAGTCTCTTCCCCACACAAAGCATTATATATTTTCTAAAACAATACAATGTTATGTCTCCTTACGGTGCAAAGATCACTCAGTTCTGTATTTGAAAACAATGCACAACATGTTTATTATTTCAAGTATTTTATTTTTAAAGAAATAAAAAAAAACATGATTACATCTCTGTGAGAAGAGTGGACGAGTCACATCCTTCTACACAAGCAACTTAGGCAAATATTGCCTACCAAAAATACACACAGGCAAATATTGCAAACGATAATGTGAATTGTATTCAAACTTTCCAATATTTACTGCAAACATTGCAGAACATCCGGCAATTCTCCTTCACAAGAAGGCAACGTAGAGGATCAATAATAATGACAATCACATGGTGATCATATTTGCGCACAAGTTACAAACCTGTGTCTGTAGTACATTCATAGAATTCATTGAAGAGCAATTCATGAATAACCTTTACAAGTCTAGAGTAAATCATTTAAATATAACTGTCAGTGCTACAAGACAGCGGGGGACAATTCATTGCCTTTCAGGTCTTTAATTGCAACACAGTATACATACTGTATATAACTAAACCCACCTGGGCTTTACTTAGGAAAGTGTATGAAATTAGAATTGCCAGTGTTGCCTCAAATCAGCCAATTAGATTCTACCTTGCAACAACAACGACAAAAACATAATTGGCTTGTGATTGGTTACCATTGGGCAAACTAGGCAGCTTATTCCAAACACTTTGATAAATTACACCCACAGATTTCATAGAAAAGATACAATGTCACTTCCATGACTACAGATTCATAGAAATATACAATATCACTTCCATGGATTTCATAGAAATATACAATATCACTTCCATGGATTTCATAGAAATATACAATATCACTTCCATGGATTTCATAGACATATACAATATCACTTCCATGGATTTCATAGAAATATACAATATTACTTCCATGGATTTCATAGAAATATACAATATGACTTCCATGGGTTTCATAGAAATATACAATGTCACTTCCATGGATTTCATAGAAATATACAATATCACTTCCATGGATTTCATAGACATATACAATATCACTTCCATGGATTTCATAGACATATACAATATCACTTCCATGGATTTCATAGAAATATACAATATTACTTCCATGGATTTCATAGAAATATACAATATGACTTCCATGGGTTTCATAGAAATATACAATGTCACTTCCATGGATTTCATAGAAATATACAATGTCACTTCCATGGATTTCATAGAAATATACAATATCACTTCCATGGATTTCATAGAAATATACAATATCACTTCCATGGATTTCATAGAAATATACAATATCACTTCCATGGATTTCATAGAAATATACAATATCACTTCCATGGATTTCATAGAAATATACAATATCACTTCCATGGATTTCATAGAAATATACAATATCACTTCCATGGATTTCATAGAAATATACAATATCACTTCCATGGATTTCATAGAAATATACAATATCACTTCCATGGATTTCATAGAAATATACAATATCACTTCCATGGATTTCATAGAAATATACAATATCACTTCCATGGATTTCATAGAAATATACAATATCACTTCCATGGATTTCATAGAAATATACAATATCACTTCCATGGATTTCATAGAAATATACAATATCACTTCCATGGATTTCATAGAAATATACAATATCACTTCCATGGATTTCATAGACATATACAATATCACTTCCATGGATTTCATAGAAATATACAATATCACTTCCATGGATTTCATAGAAATATACAATATGACTTCCATGGGTTTCATAGAAATATACAATATGACTTCCATGGGTTTCATAGAAATATTCAATATCACTTCCATGAGTTTCATAGAAAATATACAATATAACTTCCATGGGTTTCATAGAAATATCACTTCCACGGATCTCATAGAAAATATACAATGTAATTTTTATGGATTTCATAGACAATGTACAATGTCACTTCCATGGATTTCATAGAAATATACAATGTCACTTCCATGGATTTCATAGAAATATACAATATCACTTCCATGGATTTCATAGAAATATACAATGTCACTTCCATGGATTTCATAGAAATATACAATATCACTTCCATGGATTTCATAGAAATATACAATATCACTTCCATGGATTTCATAGAAATATACAATATCACTTCCATGGATTTCATAGAAATATACAATATCACTTCCATGGATTTCATAGAAATATACAATATCACTTCCATGGATTTCATAGAAATATACAATATCACTTCCATGGATTTCATAGAAATATACAATATCACTTCCATGGATTTCATAGAAATATACAATATCACTTCCATGGATTTCATAGAAATATACAATATCACTTCCATGGATTTCATAGAAATATACAATATCACTTCCATGGATTTCATAGAAATATACAATATCACTTCCATGGATTTCATAGAAATATACAATATCACTTCCATGGATTTCATAGACATATACAATATCACTTCCATGGATTTCATAGACATATACAATATCACTTCCATGGATTTCATAGAAATATACAATATTACTTCCATGGATTTCATAGAAATATACAATATGACTTCCATGGGTTTCATAGAAATATACAATGTCACTTCCATGGATTTCATAGAAATATACAATATCACTTCCATGGATTTCATAGAAATATACAATATGACTTCCATGGGTTTCATAGAAATATACAATATGACTTCCATGGGTTTCATAGAAATATTCAATATCACTTCCATGAGTTTCATAGAAAATATACAATATAACTTCCATGGGTTTCATAGAAATATCACTTCCACGGATCTCATAGAAAATATACAATGTAATTTTTATGGATTTCATAGACAATGTACAATGTCACTTCCATGGATTTCATAGAAATATACAATATCACTTCCATGGATTTCATAGAAATATACAATATCACTTCCATGACTACTGTACAGATCTCATAGAAAATATTAAATGTCATTTTTATGGATTTCATAGCCAATGTACAATGTCACTTTTTTGACAGACACAATGTCACATTATGACTTCCCTAATACACTTCAATACCAGTATATGTGAAATGTATTCTAGTTTTGATATAAAACAGGCAATATTGGTTCTAATTGTCTGCAGCAACCAGACACTTATATTGTTTATCAAACAATGATAGCTGCATCTTGATTAGTTGCTGTACATGCCATTTAGACCGAATTGCAAAAAAGATTACTCTGTACCCTTAGGGTAAATATATATATATATATACATACATATCACATTACGTGCTACATATTGGAAAATCTCACATGTAACAATATAATACTTACATCAAGTTAATCATAATCCTACTTTCTAGCTTTATAATAAAGCAGATAAAGATATACTGCACATATACAGTACAACCAATTCCATACAGAAAGACAAAGGAGCTAGGATTTGATCCCAGCAAAATATATAATAATAATTTTTGATCATTTTATGATTGCATTATGTTAATTATAACCTTACTCTCTATCAATATGATAAACACAGTGCACAGTGACAGGGGTCAGACCCCTAGTTACCAATGTAAGCATTGTATGCTCATTGTACACCCAATTTAATGTACTCAGCTCACAGTCCATAAAAGTATACACAGTCTCTACCAGGGTCTCCACAATGCTTTGCTGCTGTCTGGAGCGCTGTACTTGCTGGGGGTCTGTGAGACGGGGAACACAGAAGGACATAGAGCACCGTGCACCATCTGAGCCCCGTGGAGATTCTGCAGCAGTTGCAGCTGGGTGTCTGTCTGCTTGTGTATCGACAGGAAGGTCACAGAGTCCTGGACACAGGTGGAGTAGCCATCTCTATGGGCTTGGCTGGAGGTTGTTGTCACATCTGGAATAGACAAGACACATATTAGTTATATAAAGTCTACTGTCACCTTCTACAATCCTCTCCTGACACCTCTAAGCAAGAATCATAAGATTTAGGACAAAGGAGGGGGGCACTTACTTTTCTCAGCCATCTGATGCTGCAGGAAGGTGACCGTCATTTCCAGTATGTCGGCCTTCTCAGGTTTGGAGGGCAGTTGATGTTTCTGGAACTCTTTCTCCAGTAGGAGACGCAGCTGCTCGATGCTGCTGTTAATGCGATCTCTCCTCATCTTCTCAATAGCGGGCTTCCTCAGCTGCACAAAACAAGACACGGGATGGTTAGTGACTGCATAGTGATTGCATGGATATGAAGAAAAGGGATTCATTTCAGGAGAAAAAAGAATAAAGGTGGGGGAATCGTGGAGAAGGCAGAATAGTAAGGGGGTGACAGAGTGAGAATCCTTGAAGATGCCAAGATGGAGAGATCTGATCTTAGATATAGAGGATTGACAAGGTGGGGGATCTTGGAGGTGCCAAGATGGGAAGATCTAGGAGTACAGGGTGGGAAAATCTAGAGGGGTGACAAAATGGGGGATCTTGGAGGTGACATGATGGGGAGATCTAGGAGAACAGGGCGGGAAGATCTAGAGGGGTGAAAAAATGGGGGATCTTGGAGGTGCCAGGATTAAGAGATCTAGAAGGACAGGGTGGGACATTCTAGAGGGGTGACAAAATGGGGATCTTGGAGGTGCCAGGAAGGGGAGATCTAGAAGGACAGGGTGGGAAGATGTAAAAGGATGAAAGGATGAGGCATCTTGGAGGTGTCCAGAAGGGGAAAGAAAGGAAACAAAATGTATACATCAAAAAGCTAATAGAAGATGTATAGGGAAACTTACTTTTCTGGGATGCTTTGTCGGTTCGGGGTCAGCACGTTGCAATAGAGGGCTGCTGGTAGGAGCCATGTTGCCTTGTCAATGAGTTTAGAGCAGTTCCTGGGCTCAGCGTCCTCTATGTAGAAGGGTTCTCAGTGATGTGCAATCACAGAGCTGACCCTCCTCTCTATATACCCCTCACTCTGCATAATAATGTGTGAGGATCGGACTGTGCAGAGGTTCCCACACTCAGCAGCCAATCACAGAGCAACAGGGACAATAGACGTGTGTCACACTGCAAGGTGGCATCTGGAGCCTCTAATAGAAGTGCATAATGTAGGATGCAGAAGGCAAGCTGTAGGATAAGTGTGGGAAAGACCTGCTTCAAGATGCCCTTTAACATGTGACATATTGAACCCACTAATACTCTGACTTTGTGTTGTTTTAAAGAGCAGAAGGGTTAATGCAATATTTATAAAGCTAATAAAAAATAGACAGTTTATACCGTTATGTAGCATGCGGTTTTATTTTCCAAAAAATAGTATGCAGTTTGTTTTCATTTAAATGAAAATTCCATCCTGACCTCATATTTTAAGTGTTTGGCAGATACTGGTGAGTTGGATCACATGTATGGTATTCAGCAAAGACTACAGTGCAGATATCTTCTCATTGAAGGGTCCGGCTCCTCCTGCTTCCCCTTTCTTTGGAGTCTTGTATATTTTTTGTTTGCTTTCTTGGGGAGATTTGCCCTCATTATTTGTCCTGGTGACAAATCCAAAATTATGAGTTGTCACCAGAAGAGGAACAGAGGGGAAGTCTTTCAATTAGGGCACTTTTTTGGAAGGCATCTAAGTGGGATCATTACTTTAAAGAGTTGACACCACTTCCTGCGGTCCCATAAGGTGCCCATACACCTTGCAATCATCATATGAAAATTTTCGTCCGATGATCGATCCGTCGTACATTTTTCGTACGGCGGCCCCATGCTGCTCCGATCATCGCAAGGTTCAATTAGCAATAGTTAAAAAAAACCTGGACGAATTGCGTTAATCGACCGCATGTATTTTAGTTTGCGCATGAGCAGTGTTAATCGTACGAATTTTGACGTACGAAAACGCCACCAACCTTGCGAAAATCGTACGATTGACCGAAGATTTGTAATCTACTGGATAGTCAAAAGTCGTACGATTGTACACTATTTGCGGTTGTACACTGCCCATCCACCCTACGAATATCGGACGAAAACACGATCGCATATGAAAATCGGCCGATAATTGTAAGGTGTATGGGCACCTTAAGACTGGAATTGAAGAAAATAGTCAATCCAAAACCTGGCCATTTACCCATGAGGGCAGTTGGACACAGAGGTGCAATAGAGTTGATTTACTAAAGCAGCAGAATCTGTTCACTTAGCAAAGTGAACGTTAGTTAATAAGGTGAAGTGGTTGTTGCTTTGAATATCCAATCATATCTTAGAAAGAAATCCTGTTTTTTAAATTTCAAAGTGAACATAAGTTCCCCTTATTTTCTAACATTTATTTTGCTAGGTGACCAGGCTTTAGTCCTTTAGTAACCACTAATGTGTCGTTCTTGGATCTTATTTCTTGGCAGGATGTTTCATGTTTATGCCAAGAAAGCTGGTAGCAGCAGGGAAATATCAGATTCTGATGGCACTGGTTTATCTCAGACAAATTTTTTCAAAGCTACCTAGAAGATCTTCCACTCAAAGAAGGATTGGCCAGGGGTGTGCGGTTCTGACCTTTGACATGTGAATGATTCTCGATTGGGCTGAAAGCATAGATATTGGACCACTGCCATCTTACGTCTCAACTTTCCTCCTCAGTCCTGCTCCTCCTCCTTCTGTTGTATCTCCTATAACACAGTGCCGCAATGGGCCCACTTGTAGTGGCTGTAACAGTCAAGCAGATCAGGTGCACAGTGATCTCACCACTACATTCCATTTCTATCAGGTAATTCAACATGCCAGCATATCAGTGAGCAGGCTTCTTCCTGACTGCAGAGAGCAGATGGGATGAGACAACCTGGCATGTCTGTATACTCAACATACAATGGTGACACCTTGGGTTGGTTTTATCTGCCATGTCTGTATACTCAACCTATAATGGTGACACCTGAAGTTGGTTCTAGCTGTCATGTCTGTATACCCATCATACAATGGTGACGCCTTGGGTTGGTTTTACCTGCCATGTTTGTATACTCAACATACAATGGTGACACCTGGAGTTGGTTCTACTTGCCATGTCTGTATACCCACTGCACAATGATGACACCTTGGGTTGGTTTTTACCTGCCATGTCTGTATACTCAACCTACAATAGTGAGACCTGGAGTTGGTTCTAGCTGCCATGTCTGTATACCCAACATACATTGGTGACACCTTGGGTTGGTTCTACCTGCCATGTTTGTATACTCAACATACAATTGTGACACCTGGAGTTGCTTCTACCTGCCTTGTCTGCATACCCAACACACAATAGTTGCACCAGGAGTTGATTCTATCACCGTGCACATCTGGCGGCTCTAAGATGTCTGTGGCTTAGGCTGGAGGGAAGGTAATAACAAAGCAATATATGTGTAGAAGTGGAAGTCCCCTTTCAACAAATTAACCACAGAATCCATATTTCAGAAAAAATGTATCTGTTGCTGTGTGTTTCCATTATTAGCTTGCACATAGCCCAGTTGTATGTAGCAATGGCTATAAGGCCAAGCAATTTGTCCATGTAACCACAAACTTTAACTAACAGATGCTTTTTGGTGACAATCTCATAGTTGCCTTACCCAGAGCAATCCACCTGCCCACTACATGCATCTGCCCTCTTTATTCTACGTGCAGCTTTAAATCCACCATAACCCCCCGCCCCCTCTCAATCTTTTAAAGCTCCAGGCACTTCCATAACCATGACTTGTCACATCATGCAATTGTTCATCTTTAGGCTATGGAGAGAGCGAGGAGCTGTACTTTAGACACCTCTGATAATTTTTCAACCAGTCCGATTGCTTCCCCTCTCTGACAAGCCTCAGCTGTCGGGTCTGCTGGTTCCCCACAGACGTTAGACTTTCTTCTGATCCAGCCAATAAATAGTCATCTAATGTATATGGGCATCTTTAAGTCCCAATACCACAGTTACAATTAATTAAAAGATTAGAGGTCTCTGGTGAATGAGGAAGATGAATGAGGGCTATGAAGAGGAGGGAGAGTGAGATACCTTCCAGTACAAATGAGGCCCTAAATCATCTTTTAGTACAAACACAAACTTATCAGTCTCATGCAGACGGGTCATCAGTGAAAAATATGTCTGTGGTTTTCCAATGAAGATGCTGATTTACATTGATTGCATTGGAGATTCCCATGTGTCTGGGGAGTGGTGGTAATAGAGAGTCTTCTGTGGGGTCTCCAGAGACAGAGGATGCTGCGGTGTGATAAGAGACTGTCTAACATGTCTTTGATACCTCATTACCCTGAACATGAAAGACTGGTGTTGCATCCCTACTTCTGGACTAGCTAATGAGTTTGCGAGAGGTTATATATACCGTAATACATCTATGACTTTTTGTTTATTTTTGTGAATTCTGACTTTGCCAGCAGGGTCACTTTATTTGAGGCACCTTAGGGAGACTTTAGTCCCCATGACTAACACTATGCCATCACCCCAATCTGAGAGTGGAACCCCAAGAATGACGTAGTACTTCTGGGTATGGGAGCAACAAGTGACACTTCCCCTGCCTTGTGGAAGAAAATAAACATCCAAACTCTATGCAGGTAGTATCCTGGTTGGGATTCAAACCAAGGACCTTAGCGCCGCTTGGCTAATACCTGGATGCTGCATGTATTTGTCTCTTTCAGATATGTGAATACCTAGTCCCCCGCCATGCACTGTGGTTCCTCACGTCATCCCCTACATCCTGTAATGACATAGAAGCCTGAAAACCACAGAACACAATATGGGAGTATGTATTTGACACACCTGAGTGGTGGATACCTGCAGCAGCCATTGACCACCCAAGCACCAGAGTTTGAAGACATGGGCCACCGTAATAGATAAATACAGCAGGGATGGTGGGAGCTCCTCATAGTAAGCACAGCTTTTGTGCAGACCCAGGAATTCAGTACAGGGATGGTGGAGACCCCTCATATTGAGCACAGCAGGTGTGCAGACCCGGGAACTCAGCACAGGGATGGTGGAGACCCCTCATATTGAGCACAGCAGTTGTGCAGACTCAGGAACTCAGCACAGGGATGGTGGAGACCCCTCATATTGAGCACAGCAGGTGTGCAGACTCAGGAACTCAGCACAGGGATGGTGGGGACCCCTCATATTGAGCACAGCAGGTGTGCAGACTCAGGAACTCAGCACAGGGATGGTGGGGACCCCTCATATTGAGCACAGCAGGTGTGCAGACTCAGGAACTCAGCACAGGGATGGTGGAGACCCCTCATATTGAGCACAGCAGGTGTGCAGACGCGGGAACTCAGTACAGGGATGGTGGGGACCCCTTATATTGAGCACAGCAGATGTGGAGACCCAGGAACTCAGCACAGGGATGGTGGGAGCCCCTCATATTGAGCACAGCAGATGTGGAGACCCGGGAACTCAGCACAGGGATGGTGGGAGCTCCTCATAATGAGCACAGCAGATGTGGAGACCCGGGAACTCAGCACAGGGATGGTGGGAGCCCCTCATATTGGGTACAGCATGTGTACAGACTGGGAAACTCAGCACATGGATCCCACCAGGAGATTTCTTGAGAGGTGGAAGAAAGTGGCAGTTGGTTTAAAGCCAGCTATACACTATACACATTTCATATGGTTCTTGATGAATCAGCCGAAGTTCGCACTGTGGTTGACCCTGTCGCCACCCTTCTTTGCTGCATCCTTCCATCAGAAAATTGAAGGAGCTGATGGAAAATCTTTGGGCGACCAGTGACGGCAGCTAATTTTCCATTTGCTGTTAGACTACAAAGCACACACATTCATCCATCACACTGTTTAGCATGGATGGAGGAATCTGTTATGTTTTTACCTTCAGCCCACAGGTTGAACAAAAAAATATAGGTGTGTATACCCAGCCCAACTCTCCAACACCAACCAAAAACTGAAATATTGGTTTGGGGAGGCGGACCCCTTAAAATGCCACCCATTCATTTACTGGAAAATAGGGTATCTAGGGTAATAGGGTAAGTAGGTATTCACACACAGTCAGATTGTTTTTCAAATTCGATCGGTCACATCAGTGAGGTTTTTACTTGAACGGATGGTTTAGGAAGGTCCCCAACAAGCAAGTCTTTAATAAACCCTGCTGCTCCTACAGATCAAATATGAAATCAAAATACACCTTATTTTATATCTGTGATAAATTCTCTGAATATCGAGTGGCTTTTACATCTTGCAAAATTGTTTTCTCATATTTCAATTGAAAAAAAAAAAGATAAAACACAAATTTGAAGTCACCAACAATGATTTATTATAGAAATATGAAACGCGTTGTAACATTGTTGGACTTTCCAGTCAATCTGGATGTATGACATTTGCATATAATTCATAAATAGATATAATCCTGTAAGAATGGAATAACACAATATGTTCCATTGTACACTACAAACATTGCACACAATTCAAAGACAAATTCTCTTTGCTCATGTCAGTTGCAATGATTGCATCCCATAACATGTTATATTTAACGTACTGACAATTCCTGCAAATATTGCATACACTCTGCATACATTATCTTTGCAACACACTTGCAAATTCTGCATACTACACTTGATCGTGGCTGATCTGTTCTGCTAATATAGCATGCAATCATACACAAGATATACATACAGTATGATCTATTTCTATAGGGCCTGCAAACATTGCAGAACATCTAAGTGATATATTACATATATTCGTTTTCCTTATAAAGGAATGATCACAGATGACAATGTATTAAATGTTACAGTTACATTTTTTTTTTCACAGCCATGCATCAAATGCACTACTATTGTACTAATTTCTCAATGAGAATACAAATATTTCATTATATTATAAACTTTATTGTATAGACAAATACATCAAAAGCATGAATGCTCCTGGATGCTTAAGGGCTGATATATAAATCTTCCGCCCAGCCATACGTTGGGCAAATGCCATTTGCTCAGCATTCTAGATGGAGCCAAGGAGCATTGGAGTTATGCTCCTAGGCTCCAACCAGCGGCGGGAATGCTGTGTGAATGGCATTCATCCATGGTATGGCTGGGCAAAAGATTTATAAATTGGCCCACTAAGGTTATACACGTAAAAAGCAGTGAATCTGACATTCACAAACATTCACTCCAGGTAAATGTGATGCATGTGTTTAAATGACAGTGAATGCTTTACCACTAGTGAATATTTAATGAAAGTCATATTTACTGATTTATAAATGTGTCCCTTATTCTTGTCTCTGAGTAGTACAGAGTTACCTATGTGATACCTTCCTAAGATGGCATAGACCCGGGTAGGCAACCTTGACACTCCGGCTGTGCTAAAGCTACAAATGCCATCACGCATCTGCTGCGGGAAGCCATGCCTGGGGCTGTCAGAGTCTTGCAAAGCCTCATGAGGTTTGTAGTTCCACAACAGCTGGAGTGCCGAGGTTGCCTACCCCTGGTATAGACTACAGTTGTTACATTGTAACACTAAGAACATCCACAGAATGTGGCAACAAATACTTCCCTGCCTTTCATCATTATTCAAATGGAATTACACCAAAGCTGCTGTTAACAGACATAGGTCCTGAATGATCAGGTTTGTAAAGTGCACGTAAGGCATGCTAAATCAATACTATCATGTGTCATTTTAGCATGCCTTAAGAGTTAATTAGCATATCTCAAGCTTGCAGCTTGATGAATCGGGAACAATGGTTCACTAAGCAAACCAATGATAGCCTACATTGATACAATGTAACACTGAGAACACCCAGTGAATGTGTCAGTGTGGATCCTCATCCACTTTCTTCATAGAAGATATCTATTCATATTTATAAATATGGGACCACTACCAAAGAAGCAGCTGATATGACCCGTGCTCCTAGCTCCATATACTGTGAAAATATACAATTGCATATAGGACTAAAGGAGCAGCTGGTCTACATCTACCATATAATACAGAGTACTATGAGATCACACTGTGATTACAATCACTGCATAGCAAGCGTACTCTCTATCCATTTGATGGATACAGTGATGGGGATCAGATCCCCAGGTGTGGATGTCAGGTGAGCTTCAAGTACACCCAACTCAACGTACTCAGCTCACAGTCCAGACAAGTACACACAGTCTCTACCAGGGTCTCCAGAAGGCTTTGCTGCTGTCTGGAGCACTGTGCTTGCTGGGGGTCTGTGAGACGGGGAATACAGAAGGACATGGAGCGCCAGATACCATCCGAGCCCCGTGGAGGTTCTGCAGCAGCTGCAGCTGGGTGTCTGTCTGCTTGTGCATGGACAGGAAGGTCACAGAGTCCTGGACACAGGTGGAGTAGCCATCTCTGTAGGCTTGGCTGGAGGTTGCTGTCACAGCTGGAATAAACAAGACGCATGTTAGTTATATAAAGTCTACTGTCACCTTCTACAATCCTCTCCTGACATCTCTCAGCAAGAAACTCAATATCTAGAACAAGGGGTGTACTTACTTTTCTCAGCCATCTGATGCTGCAGGAAGTTGACCGTCATCTCCAGTATGTCGGCCTTCTCAGGTTTGGAGGGCAGTTGATGTTTCTGGAACTCTTTCTCCAGTAGGAGACGCAGCTGCTCGATGCTGCTGTTAATGCGATCTCTCCTCTTTTTCTCAATAGCGGGCTTCCTCAGCTGCACAAAACAAGACACGGGATGGTAAATAACTCTGTTATCATCATAATCAGCTTCTATATCAATCTAAGATTAACTGATGAGTAGAAAAGCTGAGCCTATATAGCGGAGG